TTTTTTCTTGATTTTTGCTCACACCTTCCACTTCTGCAGCTGCTAACTCCCCACTGGTTCTAGAAAACCAAAGGCAGTGGCAGAAGTGGGTGTGAGCGAATCTGGTATCTACAGACACTGGACTCATTTGCTATCTAAAGACAATTTTAGACTTGGAACAATAACCAACTTCTGGAAAGGGGACGGTCTCATTAGTATTTCAAAACTGGGACCAAAAGGAATATGATGACGTGATTTCACTGGGAACGGGCCATCTGACGATGAATTCTCCTAACCTGAATAAATGCTTCTAGTAAATGACTCAGGGTCTCCAGAGTCCTGGTGACGGCTCTCACCAGGTCAAGTGAGGGGAGCAGTAGGACTTGAATCCAAGTCTTCTGGCTCCAAGGGAAGGAGAGGCTACCTTGTACCCCCACCCAGAAGCTCTCCACCCTGTCAGGTCTAAGTAAGGACCTAGTTGCCACCACAGTAGAAAATCTAACAAGTCAGTCCTCTTTCCCTGAGCATGAGATCAATATTGTAAGTGACATGATGAATATATTTCTCATTTTGATTTGCTTAATTATTATAAAAACCTCACCCTCCTAAACCACTTCTGCATCCTTTGATGCCAGGCTTCCTAGGAATTACACAAATATTCACTTAACAAGGATGTCTCTCACCTTTATTTTATTGCGTAAAATATATATGGAATTATATTTAAAGCATTTTAATAACCTGATCTCTCAACAATTCTCTAGCCACACAGAATTAAGTATATTCACAGTGACTAAATGAAAATGAATGACTGTAAATCAAGAGTAAATAATATATTCACTTTGTCAAACTGCTTATGATTGTTTTATTTGGATTTCATCTGCTCAGGATGGTACCTTATATGATTGATTCTTGATTTTTTAAAATATATTCTGATTTGAAAACTCAGAAAGAGATAACATTCCTTTCTTTGCCATAACATTCAGAATATATTAAGCTCCTAAAATTTTCTTGCCACCGTATGCTGGTATTTTCTAGAATACGGTGGAACTTCAATTTATTACAGAAAGAAATAATTACTATTTCAAAATATAATATTTAAATCAATTATCAATCTCTATAAACATATAAGTCCTTTCCCCCCAAGTTGTCCATTCTATTTCTGATTTTGACTGACACATTTTTGTTAATTTGGGGCTAAGATATAATCACGCTCATCTCTGAGTTTATTTCTTCAAGGATGCATGGATTAAATAGGGTACTTTGTCCATAGCAGTTAGGGTCAAGCTGTATATTATGTGAGGCGCTAATGGCCCCGAGCTTCTGTCAGTAACTTTTTTTTTTTCCCAGCAAAGCAACAGCAATTCTCCAAGTGACCCTGTGACACATATTTGCTAGAATTGAAATTACACAGCCAGCAGTCACAAACTAGTGGCGGGAGGCTACGGTTGTATACATGATTTACATACTGTTTAGGATGGCACCTTTTAAAAAATGCCACGTGTTGGAGAACACTGGTAACTGCATGGCACTGCAGTAAGTACAGTACGACAGTTATCCCCAGCCTAAGCGACACGAAGATGGGTTGACTAAGACCCAGATTTTATTTTAATCAGATCTTGGAAAGAAAAATAACAAAAGCTTTTAAACACAACAAATTAAGTGCCCTATATTCCCCCTGTATTCTTTTATTTTATTTTAAATATACCTTTATTGATTTCAGAGAGAGGAAAGGAGAGGGAGAGAGAGAGAGAGAAACATCAATGATGAGAGAGTCACTGATCGAGCCCGCAACCCGGGCCTGTGCCCTGACCGGGAATCGAACCCCGATCGCCTGGATCCTAGGTCAATGCTCAACCACTGAGCCACGCCCGGCCGGGCCCCCTGTATTCTTAGGGGTGGAGATCGGCTGGCATTTAGAGCTTTTTCAAGCTGTATTTAGTGCTGTCGTCTCTTGTGAGTTAGGACTAGGAGGCGGGCTCTCAAGGGCAGCGTGCCAGGTCCAATTTCACAGCAGCTATTTCATGTCTGTTCTAGCTAATGAGTCCATTGATTGAATAATCAGGAAATCAAGGGACTAGCAGAATCTGATGGGCTCGTGATAATTAAATGAACTGTGTCAAAGAGCCACTACATATCTGTGTGTTGAATTTATATATCAAGGCTATAAACACAGTATCGCATCCTAATTTTTAGTAGAATGTTGTGATTATTGCCTCCCCCCCCCATTCATTCTCTGCTCTTTACCCCACAGAGAGTGTATCACAAGGTTCCCTGGGATGTGTTTTATGACTGGACTTGGCCACTGGCCGTCATGAAAAGGACATGAGAGGCGGGAGGAGAGAGAGACTTTAGACACATGCCTCTGCTCCTGCCAGGCCTCTTGACTCTGCTGGTATCTTCCCTACACTTTTCCTTCAGGACTGAGGGTGGCAAGGGCTTGTCTGTTGCTGTTCCCTGGGTACCTCAGGAGGCACTGCTTGTTCCCTTAATCATGCCCACTCCTTTGTAAATGGTACCTTAATTAAATTTTCTTCCGTTCAATTCTTTTGGGTAGAAATCTATTTCCATTCTGAACCAACCCAGATACAAACAACTGGGATTTTATTTTATAAGTACTTAAAATTAGCAACAGTTAATCCCAAAAATGTTAGTTACTTACTCGATACTTTAAAATTAATTTCCTAAATTTTACTCTATTAATTCTTCTCAAACTGACTCTGAAAGGTTATGAACAAATATTTCTTATGGACAACAATCTTTCGCATTTCACTGTGGTTCAGATCCTTTGGCGTCAAACTTTCAGGTGGCACTTTCATCACCTGCTGTTTTCTTTCGCTGCTGCTGTTGATGGTTTTGCCTTCTTTCTCTCCTATCTTCAAACAAGGAAGCACAGGCTTATAAAAAGGACAATCAACGAAAATCCTAGGAGTCCTCAGACAGGTAACCTAGTACATAATAACACAACTAATCTTTCTGAAAAACAAAAATTCAGCAGTAACCTGATTCTGATTCAGCAGGTCCAAAATCCTGTTTCTTAATTTGAATATGATTATATTTTTGCTTATTTTTTTATTATTTACTTTTAATTTTACTGAATTATTATTTAAAAATGTGGCCTTTCTACACTTTTTAGTTTTTAGGATTGTCTTTACCGTGTGGTAGAAGATCAATTTTTGTAAGTATTCCTTGGACATACATAACAAATATATATTATCACTCAATGAATATGTTTTTAAATTTATTTAATACATTAATTTGTTAATTACTTATTCCAAATTTCTGTGGCTTTTTCCTCTAGTAGTCAGCCTGATTCTGATTAACATGCATTGAAATATTCACAATATTTTCATCAACTTTTTAATAATTTTTAAAATTGTTTGTTTTATTATGCATAGGCCATGTAGTTTGGTGCATACATGTTCACTAGATTTTAGTATGAGTTTATCGCATCTTTGTAAGTTCTGTTACTATATAGTTCCTTTTTGACCATGCTTAGTGCTTCCGCATGGAATTCCAATTCACCTCACCTTTCCCTCCCACCCCCACTCGCTCTGTTCCTCATATTAGCTGTCGCCCATGTGCCTATTCCTTTAATTTCAACATTTACTTCACCGATATTAGTGTCTCATAAGCATCACATCACTATTTTATCTTTGTTTACTACAAACTTGAGTTTTCATTGTTTTCAAAGAAGAATCCATTGTGCCTTCTTGCAGAGCTAGATTGGTAGAGCTGATCGTTAACCTGTTTGCCTCTCCTTTTACTCCTCCTTATTTTTTCTATATTTTCCACGTATTAAAAGTTATCCCCCTTCCTAACCTCATAATCAAATATGTGTATTATTATGTCAAAAATGATATCCAATATTATGCCCCCACTCAGGACACTATTTTATCTCTGTTTTCCCTACTCTCTAATAAAGGGAGAGTTGAATACATGTATGTCAAACAGTAATTAAATATAGTTCTACCCCATAAGAGAAACATATTTATTGACTCAGAGAGAAGAGGTAACAACCCTACTTTTTAAAGTATAAAATAGAGAGATCAAGGATATTACAAATCATGCGTCTTACTTTAGGAGTTTTACTGAGGGGGTGCATATGGATGTAAATAAATCTGGATATTCATGATGATACTGCCCTATGAGTAGTGGTATTATAAAGATTATAGAGAAAATAGCCTAATATGTAAATTAAATGGTTTCAAGATCAGTATATTATTTTATTCTTATATCTTCCTTTTCTATAGCAAACTTGGTGAGTATTCAAGGAAATTTTATTTTTATAAGTGAAGGAATAAATGCTCCACTGATTTCTAATGTAGAAATTATCAAGATAATGCATGTTTTAATGATTTAATTTTTTAGCTTTTTATGGGATTTCATTGAAATAAATCAAGAAAATTTTGTGATTTATTGAAGTGAGGCTCATTTCAACTCAGCACTTTTAAGTCTCATCCACTCTGGTTGAAAAATATGTAATTAAGTGGAGGTAAAGGAATCCTTAAATGCTCTTTTGAGATTAAGATAGCAATATGAGATTGCTAAATATAGAAGTGTAAAAGGTTTTTGCATAGTACTATAATGGCACTAAATAGTACCGAATATATTACATCAATGTCTCCCACTTTGTTACATAATTGCCGTACTGTTTAAAATTTCTGCCAACAATAGTGAACATGAGTAAAGCATTGCCAATTAATTTTAAAGTAGACATTGTGTCGATTAAAAACATATATGATGTGTTCATACAATGTGCTCGTATGATGCCAAAAAGGATATCAGAGAATTGGTGAAAAATTTAAATGCCAATTACTGATTTAAGAGTGTTTACAATCTAATGTGAGTTGGGGAGGGGAAATGCAGGAAGGGAGCAGATGAGAGTGGAGCTAAATGGGTAAAACAAGTATAAACATATCGAGAAGTCTTATTAGATATCTCTCATGATATTAATTATATCAGAAAAATAATGGCATAATACTCTTTTAATTGTCTTCAGGTATCATGGTCATGTGACTTACTTTCACCTGTTGAGTAATCCTGTGGGTCAAGTATTCCTGATTCCTGCAGGGATCTAATACAGGAGTCCACCAGCTCCAGGCCTGTTGTGAGTTCATCTTCGATATCTTTTTGACCATCTGAAATTACAGTATTTTAAAGTGTAAACAAACATGTAATAATGTTAGTATTAAAGCTTAAAGCACTTACTTAAAAATCAAAAGTCTCCTAACCTAACATAGGACCTCTATGAAGTTCTCACTAGAAATCTCAGTGTAATCTTCAGTCCACCAGTATTAAACGCTAAGGCCAGCCAATTCCATGTATCCATGAAGAACCCAAAGTGACTAGGAGATCGTGAGAACTTAACTCCCATGAAATTGTGAGTTTTCACAACAACTTCATTAAATTTGAGTGTCATGGTGTTGTCATACTCATTTTCATAAGTCTCTAAACTTCACGAGGAAATTAATCTATAGAGATACATGTAGTAAGTGTTCATCAAGAAGCCGTACTTTACCTTGTGATTGCCAGTGAAACTGCTCTTCTGCTGAACTGTAAAAAAGAGAATACATAGGTATAATGCATCGATTAGAAACGAAGGGAACCTAGACCACAAGACACAAGACACAAAGGCACGTTAGGGTAGTAATGGTGGCTCCATTAAAGGTACTTCCTTTCATTTCTTACTGAGAAGAGAGACCCCATTGTGATACAATCTTAACTTTAATCCATTTGATGTTATACATGGGCATTGTCCAGTAAATTTCAGAAGAACAGCTCAATTTTTACAAAGACGAACCTATTACAGTTGTTCCTTATAATAGTTTCACATACATGCATTGCTACCCAATTTTAGTTCTTTTAAAATATAAGTCTGAATTGTTTCAAGTAGACCTTGTGAGGTAGTCTAAGAAAGAAATAACTTTCCCTTTTTTCATTACAAAGAAGATACAATGAACCTATACCTTCTTCTAGACATATCAGATGAGCTGTTCCTTTCAGTTGATTATTATGGCTGACATTAAGTAATTAAAATTTATAACACTTTACCACCATTGAACATACAGGTCCCAAATTCTCACTTTATACATTCATCTTATAAAATGATCCTAGCAGAAAGGCTTGTTTATATACATGATATGCCAAAGATATTGTGCAGAGTGCATCTATGTAGGCAACATAGATTCACTTTGAATGATTAAGGATACAAATAAATTTAAAGTGTCTAAAAACAATTTTCATTATACGTGCAAATACTTCTGATATTCCCTTTTTAATATGTTAATAATTAAGAAATCTAGGTGCCAATTGTTGACAGGCATCACTTTCAGAATGATTTTCTACACTTATTTCACTGCATCTTTGACTGTGATCAAGTAGCTTCTATGAATAGCTCATCAGTTTCACAACAGCAAGAGGGTTTTATAACTCTAACCTATACCTTAGAGATGGCTTCTGAATACATTTACAGGGGAAAAGGGAATTCTGGTATAAATCAGCATTCAGAAAAGCCATGATTGATACACATGAATATAAGAGTAGTCCCTTAAGAAACATATGACTTTTACAGGGTATCTTGCTCTGATGCCAATACATTTGAGCAAACTTGAAAATGGTTTTTCAGTGATGAGAGCTACATGAAATGATAACATTACAAATTCAGTCCAACGCAAATTTTTCTCGCATCAAAAAGATGTAGCATTATATAGCAGTAATATCTAACTACAAAATTTTGCACTAAAAACAGAAATGTAATCCTATAATCAATATTTTTAAAACTGCAGAGCATGTTCATTTAATAAGTGGTGTTAATATAGAAATAGAAAATGCTTTCATATCTGTAGCAGGTGTAATGTTGTCCCTCTCCCCAAAAAGATATGTCCACATCAAATCCCTAGAAACTGAGGATTGTTATTGGAAAAAAGGATTTTCCAGATGTAATTAAAGATCTTCAGGTGAGATAGCCCTAAATCCAATGACAAGTGTCCTTATGAGAGACAGAAGAGGAGAGAGACCCAGGGGAGGCCGTGGGGGGATGGAAGCAGAGGCTGGAGTTACGCCTCCACAGCCAAGGAATGCCTGGGGCCCTTGGGACCTTGAAGAGGTAAGAAAGGATCCAGCCCTGGAGCCTTTATAGCACTCACAGTCCTATTGACATACCTTGACTTTGAACATCTGGCCTCCCAAACTGGGACAAAATGTTTCTTTTTTCTTAGGCCACTCAACTGTGGTAATTTGTTATGGTGGCCCCAGGAGACTGACCCAATATTTTCCTGATACAATCTGTTATATCCTTCAGGATTTACTACTATGTTCCTCTTACCAGTACGACCCTTTACTGAGTCCTTACTGTATGCCAGGGCTCTGCTAATTCACAACAATCACACATTTATTTTGGTAGATGGAGAATTAACAGGCTTATTGATGCTGAATAACTTGGCCACACAGATCATAAGGAACTCGTTAGGGGATTAAAGGAATCTGCTCAACTCCAAAGCTCACATTCCTACCTCCCAGTCTAAATCTACGGAGGGAGACACACTAAGGTTACTTCCCGCCTGAAGCAGTGAGAGTGCACAAGTCACTGCACGCTCCCCCCAGGGCTTACCAAAGGCCCCGCTCCTCTCCTCGCGGGCACAATGAAGACCACGCTTCCCGCCCCCTGGCACAGAGATGGGTCATGGGAACGTCTGTGAGCAGGGCCAAGTGTCACCTCCTGCCCCCAGCAGGGAAAGGCAGGAATGAGACCCTCATGCTCCTACTCCTTGTGAAGACCTGTGCTGAGAGGGGTCCCCAAGGAAGAAAGATTTCTGCCAACGCAGACAAGACAAAGCACGGGGAAGGAACAGGCCGCTGTGTGTGAAAGCCAGTGCTGGAGGGTTGCTGGTTTCCATAGAATAAGTGTCACACTGAGTAATACAAATATGTGCAACTATTTGAGTTCATAAGGCATCTCCTGTTCTCTCTTTTCACATCCACACACAGAGCTGGGAGGAGATGTCCTGGTCACTCCAGCACAGATCAGGTGGCACCATAGCTGCGCCCATCCTTTGAGATGTAGCCTCATCTATAATAATGGGCGATTTCACTTGCAGGGCTACACATGGCACTGTTACATAACACTTTTTGTTCATCTCTTTCAAAGGTGGTTCTATTTTATGATGCAACAGAAGCAAGAAGAAACATTTTTATTACGATTGAAAAAATACCACTGGCAGTTACTATGAAACTATCCTCTCAGAGCAGAAGTGCCTTCCTTTGGGGCAAAGAACATTAATCACTTAAATGGCTTCTTGATTCCTTTAGTACAGTTAAAACGCATTAAAAATGTGAATGATTGCAGAAAACGGAAGTCCCAAGAGAAACCTGGTTTGGACTTTATTTCCTCTGAACGCACACTTTACTCTCTCTGTGAGGGGATTGTGTGCAATTGCATATTTTATGTGTTAATTCCATCTCTTAAAAACTGCTCTGAGGTGGATGATTTTTTAAAAAGCAAACAGACTATTTATTCATTCGATAAACATGGATTATGCCTGTGTCTCCAGCACTCTTATTTCAGATGTTTAGGAATTACTCATGGGGAACTTTCTCCCAATAATATAATTCAATTTAATATAACATAAAAGTCATCTTTTAAAGCTGTTGTAACTACACCCATGTTCAATTTCAGGAAATAAAGTTGGCTTCCATTACCAAAATGCTATTTATTGAAATAGAAAACATTGAAAGGAAAAATATAAATGCAATTTAGATCATTCCAAATGTATTTAACCATAGCTATGCATAAGTTCCTGAACCCAATTATCATGAGAAAAATGTATAACAAAGACTATCACAAGTACCATTTAACCTTTAAACATATACCTAAATATGTACATAAATCAGTGATGTTAGGAAAGAGTTTAAAAAACAATATCCAGAAAGGACCAATTTTAATAGCTAACGCTTATATAGCTCTCACTTTATACCAGGCAATATTCTAACAGATTTATAGTTGATCTTCATGCCAAAACTTTTCAGAGAAGTAATACTTTCCAATTTTACAGATAATGAAATTGGGGTAACAACAGGTTAAGCACCTTGCTGGAGGTTGTACAGCCAGCAAGTAGTAGAGCCAGGATTATGACCCTGGCCATCTGGTACTAAGGTCACATTCTGAACTGTCATTCTATCCACACATTTGGCTGCATCAAAATTAAACTCCTTTGTGATAAAAACTAAAATATAAACACCAGAAACTAAGTTGTAAAACAAGTCACATCCTAGGAAAAGATATCTGCAATGCATATATTATGCAAAGGGTTAGTTTCCAGAACATATAAATAGCTCCTACAAATCAATGAGATTGAGATTAAAAGCCCAAATAGAAGAGAGGTCAACAAATATATGCATAGTTGAAGCATAGTAGAAAAAAAATCAAGAATGTATGGCTACCAAACACATTAGAAGATACTGAACCCTATTAGGAACTAGAGGAAGATAAAATAAACAAAAGATACCTCTTTATACTCTACAGGCTGTCAAACAATTAGAAAGCCTGACAGTACTCAGTGTCAGGGACGAGTTGGGAAATAAGATTGTCCGTGGGGGAGCAAATTAGTGCAACCCTTGGGTGAGCTATGGGACAACGCCCGGTAATGTCTCAACCACCCCGCAGTCTGCTTCGAGGTCGAGCCTCCAGGGAAACCCATGTGCCTGTGCCCGGGAGACTGCACAGGGCTGTTCATGCCACCGTGGCCACAGCAACAAAACAGTGGAAGCAATCTAAGTGATCATCAATATGGGAATCAAAAAATGTACTCATATGACTACCTATCAGGTATGACATACATGTAGATTAAATACTATTCATCAGTTAAAATAAGTTAGCCAGTTACTGCGCATACATCAACACAGGTAATTCTCAGAAACATAATATAGAGCAGAAAGTGCAAATTGCACATAAGACATGTGCTGCCTGAATAAAGAAGGGTTACGAGCATATGGATTAAAAAGACACACCCACGTTCACGACGGTGGTGGCCTCTGAGGGAGGCAAAGAGAAAGGAGTGTGAGGAGGGGTGAAAAGGAAATTTCACTGTGTATCTATTGTGAAAAGTTAGGATGATGTATTGTAGAATCTGTATAATAGAAACCAAAATAATTTTATTAACCAACGTCACCCCAATACATTTAATAAAAAAGCAGGACAAAATGTTAACATTAATTTAAGAATACTTTGGATACCTGGAACACAAATATTATGATTCTTACACTTAAAAACACATTTAGTTAAAGGCTTAGATAAATCTTTGATTCAGTTTTACGCAACAGTCTCATCATTGTTAGAATCAGTCACAGCTGAAATTGAGATGATGCAAAACAATTCTGAAATATATAACATATCTATATATGTGCTTTAGAGATATAATTATTTTTCCTCCATTCTGTACGTGAGAAAAGCGACAGTATCACTTTTACTGCGTTTCAAGTTTGACAACCTTGAACATCCTAAGTAATCCACCCACCAAAGGCTTTCAAGTTCTGAGCAGGACGAGGGGCGGGGGGCAGGGGCTACTTTAAACCGAAG